CGCGCGCCGACCGATTTTCGCGCGCAAAAAAGTCGGATTTGACTGTTATNTGTAAAAGCCCCTTTTACTGTCCCTCCCCTTTCACTCTAGCCTGTGATGTCTCGGAAAATGTTTTCAGTTCAGCCTAGAAAATTCAGAATTTATTGATTGCACCCTGTGGAGTCCTTTTAAGTACCCTCAAGCCGTTCTTGAGGCGAACCACATAGCGGAATATGTCCTCTCCGGCACAGTTTTGCGAGTTCATTTCGTCGTTCCTCTGGCGTCAGGAACGTTAGGTCGTATCTCGATCACCACATGAGCCCCAGAAAGCATGAATTTAAAACGGGGTTTGCGTAGGAACTGAAATATGCCCTTACGTTTGAGGGACGACGATATGGACTCATGGATAGTTGTGGTGCCTTACCACTATTGCATTCTACGACCAAGTTCCCGACCAAAAATAAATTGTCTCTCTCGTTCTCACCTTGACCCCTGTGTATCGTTATCCTGCTCTGATTATGGAAGTTGTGAAAGAAGCTTTCTCTCTCAACTTGTATCGCTTATTATAAACTTTCGGTGCAGTTATACGTGTATAGTAAACCAAATATTAAAGAATTGCCTAAAATCAGATTTAGAGAGCGGTTGGCTGCATACATGGGCCGAGTGAGAGCAAGAGAGATGGATAATCGTGAAATAAAACCCAAGGTCACTCATACGTCACTCTGATTGCCATTGATTGAGACATCAATGATATTCGCTGAATTTAACGACGCGTGACTCATCATTTTTCGAACGAAAGAATGTAATTGCATTTTAAAAAACTGCAAAATTTCCACTCGAAATTTACATTTTTACCAGAGAACTGTTTGTAATCTCTAACTGAAAAGTTTATAAATTTTTCATCTGACCACGGGCAAAAAGCAGCAAAATGTTAGACGGATGATGCTCGTACGGTCATATCGATGGCGAAACTGTAGAACCACGTTTCTCTGTTTGCGACGTTGCAGACTTTCCTTCTTTATTTTTACTCTAGGAAACTATTCAACGTGATTTCTTGAAGACCAATTTGTTTTTCCCTCTCTTTTCTGCAGAATATTCTGTACAAATTTAAAGTTATGTAGTTAATTTGTCCCTCTTTCAAAAAATAAATCAGGGGCAGACATTTTGAAAGACCGCAAAGGAGATACGATGTTGCGAACTGTAGCCATCAAATATTCTTATAAAAGAGGTAAAGCGTTGAAATCAATTTTACAACCTATTGGAACGGAGAAAGGTACGTTCCTTCGTTTGGGAAACGATTTCGAGCCAATAGATCGTTTTCGATAGTGGTTCGATGTATCGTTTCGTTCAAAACAATAGAACATTCAGTCGGAATAGCTGAAGATGAGAAAATTCTCAACTATTTCACCTTGCGATGCCATTTAGTACTCATTAGAATAAAAAATCTATCAGAAAAACCCCGTTTCCTCAGATTACTCGATTGACTTTTGAGGCTCTGTTCACATGTTGAACCAATCGATTTAGATACAATCTCACCTATTTGATGTATCGAAAACAATCCATTACTTTCCAGATCACGTAAGTTCCAAAATTGCGAATGCGAGAAAAGTAAGAAACCTCGTTTTATTCGCTTTGTTGACAATCTTCGAATCCCAAAAAATGTGTGTTCTTTTAGTAGGCTATTTTGGAATCCGACAGGATTGATTATACCAGAGAAAACAAAGAAAAAACAACCCCGCCACCACCAAATAGAGATCGGTTCTTAATAATTGGTTCAATTTCGGGTTGTTATTTTGGTGCAACTTGGCAGCGCGAGCCTGCATCCATGGAAACTGCACGGTGGCGGCGCGCTCGCAGGGAAGGAAACAAACAGCTTTTCAAATAAATGACACCAATTATGAGTAGCGAACGCTTATTCTTCGCTGCCTGGGCGCGCGGTAAATGTGGGTAATTAAAACGAGAAGCGCGCTAAAAGCGCGTGGAGCCGGCGACAAGCGTTATCTCCGCCGCGGCACCCGCCCCCGCCCAACTCGACTCGCGTTGCGCGTTACGTCAGCCCGAGGGATGCTGTTTCCGCAGCGCTCGTGTCAAAGGGAGGCGTCAAAGGATTTACGGAGCCAGGCGCGAGAACTGGCTTTTATATTTTAAGGACTCTACTGCCGTACTAAAGAAGAACGCCGTATGGGCATTCGAGAGCTGCCAAATTTCCCTCGATAAAACATGTATTTTTGACGATATTTATGCATATTTGTCTTTTAAATTTTCAGATAATTCAGATTAAATTGCGTACCAAATTGTCTGAGAACTTTGAAGAATAATATTCACAATTTTCCCAGAAAATTCTTTTTCCATTCGATGAAATATGGCAACGTCTGAAGGCTCATAAGGCGTTCTTCCGTAGCACGGCAGTGCACGGACTTGGTATGGGGATTACGGACCGTGTTCACACCAACAGTCGTTATTCCTTTAATTTTACGACCCACTGAAACCGCAAGGATTGCGTTGAGTGCGAAAATTACGAGACCCTTAAGGTAAAGGAGCAGCAATGAATACAGTCTCACATACGTTATCGATGCGTGGCCATTTCTTTAGCGGATCTCCTAGACGAACGAGATAGGGGGCATTCAGTTAAGGTTTTTTTGCTCGTTTTCATCTTCTCCTCTCCTCCCTCTCCATAAATGCGCTACATCGCTCCGTATGCATCACTCTCCCCCCTCCATCTCTATCTCAGGTTTTGCTAATCAGGTTTTTGACGTTGTGTGATTCTAACCCCCGAAAAAAAAAACTGCGTGGTTTTTAAAGTTTGGATTATCGCTGCCCCCTTCGTGATGTAGATTAGATTAGGTACACGACTTAGTACAATCGGACTACTCGTTGCAATCGGGATTACTTCAATTTCTCGCTCATCCATAAAACACTTATGTGTTTATGCAAAATAATGGTGTGTACATTATTTCTGAACTGAGCCGAAAATTGTAGTTTTTTATTCCACAAAGAGCAGTCCGATCACCCACACGGTTCTTAGGACCCCCTTTTCCAGTGGCGATTCTTGAAATTTGGCAACATTGTTTTTACTCCGTTTGAATCCATTCAAAATATCGATTCCAGGTGAAGAATCAATTTTTTACGTACATTTAAATGGAGGAAAAACAACGTTGCCAACTTGCAAGAATCGCCTCTGCTTTTTTCTGTGTCTGGCAGACTGGAGTGAAATCCCTCGTCAAACTCTCCAATCATTTCTGTCTTGAGATACTGAAAACGTATTGCTTAATGACATTTCGTAATTTTTTTACTGCAAGTGTTCAAATGTACCCAGTTTCTATCAGCCAGTTCCATTGTCCATGGAACGGTCCGTCAAAAAGTCAACATTGCAGCTCTTCCACTGAAACCATCCGGACCTGAGGATTTTGGAATATGAATATACTATGTAATTTCTGCCCACGGTGTGGACGTACAATACCACTTCCGTCATATATCATCCCAACAATGTTTTCATTTTCTTTTTCTGTCGTGGCGAAGTCACGAATCCTCTCGTATATATTTACGCTAAGCACCTCTAATGAGTTTCTGCGGAAATGAGGAATTTTGAATTACACCCTCGTAACCGTCGGCCACTAGAAAGAACCATCCATTTTTAAATGAATGTGGAGATTGGAAGAGGGCTTTGCACCGTGGCGCGACGAGCTTTAAATAAATTATATCAACGGTCTGAAGCCCTCTGGGCAGTCGGATCAGATGAATGAATGGATGGATGAATGAATGAATGAATTTATCACGAGCAGATGACTCGTTGTTAGTACCGTTGCCCAGTTGTGGTTGTAAGCTGCCATGACGCCGGCTCATTAGAATTCTTTCCGATTTTTACTGACCGGTCGTTTCCAAATTCACTATTTTTTTTCAAAGATTGGCAACGCTGGTAAGCTCGCGAACGAGACGTGTTTGTTGAAGTAAAAGCATACCCGAGCGGGTCAAGTAACACCTTGTTGTCAAGTCAAAGCTCCTCAAAACCGGACATCGAAGAAAGCGAACGCGAAGTTCCGTAGATTTCGGGGTTCGGTAACCGAAACTACCGGTCCAGTTTTCTGTACTTTTGGCATGGGTGCTAATGGCCGCGAATATTCATGGGCACAGTCAGAAATTGGCAAGGACTTCCCTCCCTTCCTTGGAGCGTTATGTGATTTAGGGACGGCCCCCAATATGGAAAAAGAGTTGGGTAGGATTTACCATACTTTGGTTAAATAACGGCACAACTAGATAACAGCCAATACCTGCGGGGCGATTATTGAAATGATATCGACTGTATGTCAGCGCTTTGTCGTGTTGCGCCATCGACTAAGCAATGGCTTAGTCGATGGCGCGACACGACAAAGCGCTGACATACAGTCGATATCATTTCAATAATCGCCCCGCAGCTTGGGAGTGGATTTCAGAGAAAACCAGTTGCACCATCGTGTTTCTTGCTAACTTTTACATATAAATCAACAGTCAAATCGCAAATTCCTCACACATGCAACATATCCATTATTGCTTCTCAAAGACGTAAAGCGTGAGGCAGCACAGCATAATGATGGATCTGAGCCCTAGATGACCGAGAATCACTTCAAGTGTGGAGAAAGTAGAGTACCTGTATAGCGAGAGTATGGACAGATCGCTTCATGGAGGGCTTAGGGCCCAAAAGGGCAGCCACCCTTCTAACCAACTTGTAACGCACAAAATTCCACTGCCAGTCTGCAGATTCCAATTTTAACCATGATGGCCAAGAATGTACAGAAATGAGCGTTCTTCCGTGAAATTGAGTAAATTTATGCAAAAACTGAGCCAAACACGTGCTTAATAAACGACGGTTCGTAACAATAGTATTAGTGAATCGCTCTGGATAATTGCAATTCATAGGTTGGCTGCATTTCTGGGCCCTAACTTTATTCGCAGAAGCATCGGTGAAGGCCTGATGGATTTTCGGAGTTTCACATCTGCCCATACTCTCGCTATACAGGTACTCTGGGAGAAAGAAGCGTGCTAACCTTGACGGTAGGGTAAGTCTTGTTCTCGGGGGTGCTGTTGACGCCGGGGATGCTGCCGGCGGAGCGGCCCTCGCACTCGTAGCGGAAGCGGACCTCCTGCGAGGCCGGCTGCTCCACGATCTGGATGCTGATCCCGGGCGGGGCCCCCTGACCCCCCAGGTTCCCCAAGTCCGCGCCCAGCTCCCCCGGCTGCGCGCTCGGCTGGATGTTCATCGGTTCCACCTGGGGTAGCGCCGCTTCCTCCTGGTTCCGCAGGTCATCGGTGATCACCTCGACTGCAACAAGAAACAACATTCACGGGTCAGACATCAAGCCAAAAAAATCAAGTCAAAATTCAAAAACGTCCAAATAATCTTTAGCAAATGATAATGATATGGCCCGGAATGATAGGGTGCGTCAGATCATACACTGAAAAAAAAATCTCTGTGTATTTACTGAGAAAAGGGTAAAATTACCAAGAATTCAGGGTTCTATTTGATCCTAGTTTTTTCTTAGTAAAATTACCATTTATGGAATTGGTAATTTTACCGAGACTTCTAGGTAAAATTATTGAACTTTCTCTGTAATTTTACTGGACCTTGGTAAAAACGCCAATATTTTTTATCGACTATGGTAGAATTCCCGAGATAAAATGGCAAAGTTACCGGGAATTGATTACCAATAAAAGTGGTATTCTTACCTGAAAAAAAAACAGTAAGAATACCGGTTTTTAGGTAAGCTTACCAGTCTGTCTTGGTAAAATTACCAATAATTGGTAAAAAAAAGTGAGATGGTAAAGGTACCAACGGACCTTGGTAAAAACGCCGAGAATTTTTTTTCAGTGCGTCAGATCATAGGAGTAGAAAATGACATCGTCCTCGGCGTCATGGCAAAACAACTTGTCTGGTATAGAAATGTTAATAGGATGACGGAAGCGATGGCGGCGAAGAAGATACTTGACTCGACTTCTCCTGAGAGGAGAAAAGCAAATGGGGGAAGGAGGGAGGGGAGGGGGCAATTTCAAGTAAATCTTGAAAAATGTCGTAGAATGGATGAATTGATTTCTTAAAATTTTTAATTTTTCATATCTTCACGTGACAAAAAAATTTTGAAATTATCATGACTTGAAGGTGAAAAACCACCTGAATCGTAAGATACAAAATTTGAAAATTAGAAATCGAGACAGGACGAGCCAGATTCAAAGTGATAATCAAGAATAGACGGAAAAAGAAAGAGTATAAGGATATATATATATTATTTATATACATTATTTATAAATATATTATATTTATATAATATAAGGAAAATAGAAATTTCAATTTAAAATGAGCTCCCGTGTAAAATCCGCGAAAAAAACTATCTGCATTTTTCTACGCATAATAACTTGGCCTAATTTCCCCGCGACCGGAAAAAGGATCTTCCACCACCCCCTCCCACGACCACTGACCCAATCTCGAGATGGTAATCTCAACCAGGACGCTGAAAAGTGAGAGTTCCTCCAAGTGTTGCCGTTTTGTGGAAGAATTAATCAAGTCCAACCACGAGAAGCAACGCAAAATGGGTAAATTTTCCGACGAATCAGGCGCCACCGGCGTCCGGACCCGATGCATTTCGTGAGGTTCCGGATTATGCATCATACGCATCGTTGCTAAATTTCGGGAAAAATCTGATTTTAGGCACACGACGAGAAAACGAGTCCCGCGTCCGGCTCAAACCGCAAGACTCCCTATCAGATACTCTCGTTTTTTAGTCACATCTTGAGCATGCGGGAAAACAGTGGTATTCCGCCGTGCTAAGGAAGAACGCCGTATGAGCCACGAGGCGTTGCAAAATTTTCTTCGACACATCCGAAATTTACAGGGCAAGTTTTCAACATTCCTTAACTGATTTTTCAGAGGATTTCATTCGTAATTTGATCGAAAAACTCTGAAAATTTCAAGGAATAATATTCATAACTTCCTTCAAAAATACATGTTTTTCAGCTGGTCCTCACGGACCGACTATTCTTTTTGCTCTAACTGAAGTTTGCGACAGGCACATTTAATTATATTTTATCGGAATGTTTGTCCCCGTTCAAATATTCTCCAAATGTGTTTTCATTTTTCATCGAAAATATTTTCTACGCACACACATTGGACTGCTGAACAAACGGAAGATGTTTTAAAATTTTAGCAACATTACCTACACAGCAAAATGACCCGTGTACTGTTTAGTGTTTTTTTCGCGACGACTTTCAACGCTCAAAAAAATTTGCAAAAATAACCCTCCGTCCAGTGGCGATTGTCGACAGTTGGCAACACTGCTTTCCCTCCATTTAAATGTATGTAAAACAATCGATGCATGGTGAGGCAGCTTGCCTCGCCTATAGAATCGATAATTTTAGTGGATTTAAATGGAGGAAAAACAGTGTTGCCAACTTCCAAGAATCGCTTCTGGACGGGGGGTTATTTTAGCAAACTTTTTGAAGCGTTGAAAGTCGCCGCAAAAAAAGTACTACACAGTACACGGGTCTTTTGCTGTGTAGGTAATGCTGCTAAATTTTTAAAACATTTTCCGTTTCTTCAGCAATCCAATGTTCGCGTGGAGGACATTTTTTCGATGGAAAATGAGGACAAATTTTGAGAATGTTAAAAATGGGAGAAACACAAAATAATATTTGCTAAATATACAAGGTGGCCTTTATCGCTCTGCTGAGTCGATCGCATCGTTCATCTCATTCCCGATGAGTGATGCCCGTGCCCGAGAAAAAAGGAAAAAATAATCGACGCACAAATGGCATCACTGTTTTCGACGACAGATCTGGTGTCTCGATGACTGATCGGAAGCATTGCATTATTACATGGGGTCTCCGCTGCTGCAGCACAGTGGGCGCTTCGTACGAAGTTGGAGAGCAAACGAGTTCCTTGTTGCGGAATCAGAAGAATTTATATTTTCTATTTCAGGATTTGTACGAGTTTTAAAGGCTCCACTCGGAGATGGAGAGTGAAATTTCAAAAGGCTCAAATAAAATTCACAAAATTTGAAACTTATTAATTTTTTCCGAATAATGGAACATTAGACAAGGTACGAATTTAAACAAACTGATACATGTTTCTTAACAAGAATTTCATGTAAAACACGATTCGCGCAACAAAAGTTCCTGAAACCAACCCTTGACGAAGATATTAACCTTTTTATTTCACATTGGTTACGAGGAATTTGAACTGGCCGCTCACAAGAAACTCGAAGCGTGACGTGAGTCAAATCGCGCACTACAACGGTTTCAGCAAGCTTCTCAATCGAGCAATGTTCATTTCCCACCATGTGTTGTTCAAACTATGAGCAATTTGCTATAGCTGAGCCAAAGCGTCAATATTGAGGTTGCCAGATTTTCATATCGCAGAGACTGTCATGATGACGTTTAGCGCGCGATGTGAATCACGTGGAGCATTGAGTTTTCATGAGCGGGTGGTTTGAATTCACGCATTAAGAATCATTAAATATCTTCGTAAGGAGTTAATTTCGGTAATTTTCGTTGTGCGTATCGTGTTCTACGTGAAATTTTGGTCAGCAAACATGTATCAGAATGCTGAAATTCGTACCTTGTCCAGTGGTCCATTATGGAAAAATCAACATTTTCACAGAATTTTACGCCGAGATTTTCATCAGTGTGCTTGCTTTCCCGTCTCGAAATCCAAATTCGGTCCCACTGCTCGCTTCCATCCCCCGAGTCCGGGGATCAGGGACTTGGCACAGACCGGAGGCCGATGTAGCAGTGTTGCCGTTTCCGAGATTAATTCCGAATTGCAAACTTTTCACATTATCGGAGTCTTTACCCAATCAATATCTTCGAAATTTCCGGGATTTTTCGAAGTTTTTCCGGAATTTTGGGGTTTTTTCGACAGTTTGCCCGATTACTTGATCAAATTTAATGCTTTTCGTAGACAAAGATAACCTTTAGAACTAATGCGAGCGTATTTCGGAATTTTTTTAACTTTGGGAAATATAATTCAATCCCGGAAACCTCGGAATCTTCGGAATTCACGAAATTTTTCCGGAATATTAGGGTTTTTTGTCAGTTTAACCGATTAATTGATCAAATTTGATGATTTTTAGAGACAAAGACAACCTTCCGAATGAAATTCAGGCGTATTTCGCAACTCGTTCTTGAACTTTTTAAAAAATTCGGAATTTTTCTTGGAACTTATGGAAATCTTTAATTTTGGAAACCCCGGAATCTTCGAAATTCCCGGAATTTTCCGAAACGTTCCCGGAATTTTGGGGGTTTGCGTCAGTTTGATCGATTATTTGATCAAATTTAATGTCTCACTTCAACAAATTGGACAACCTTCTAAATTAAATCCAGCCGTAATTTAGAATTTTTTCCTGGATCTTTTAAGAATTTCGGAATTTTTTTCGAAGCTTCGTGAAATTTCGAAAACCCCGGAATTTTACGAAATGTTCCCAGAATTTTACGAAATGTTCCCAGAATTTTGGGGTTTTGCGTTAGTTTGACAGATTACTTGATCCAATTTAATGCTTTTCTTAAACAAATTGGACAACCTTCGGAACTAAATCCGGTCGTAATTCTTTCGATTTTTTTCGGAAATTTTTTCCTGGATCTTTTGAAAAATTCGGAATTTTTCTCAAAGCTTCACGAAATTCCGAAACCCCCAGAATTTTACGAAATGTTCCCCGAATTTTGGGGGTTTGCGTCAGTTTGACCGATTATTTGATCGAATTCAATGCTTTTCTTCAACAAATTGGACAACCTTCGGAACTAAATCCGGTCATATTTTTTTCGGGATTTTTTTCTGGGTCTTTGGAAAAATTCGGAATTTTTTCCTGGATCTTTGGAAAAATTCGGAATTTTTTCCAGGATCTTTTGAAAAATTCGGAATTTTTTCGGAACTTTGCGCAATTCCAGAAACCCCAAAATCGTTAGTAAAATGAGGCGGCAGCACCGCGACGTAGCGCGTCGCTCCGGTTTGATGGGAAACGGATGCGAGGCGCGCGCTGTGCGAGATACGAACAATTTGACCGGTATCGATAATAAACGCGGGAGTCGGCGACCGACCGAACGCGGCATCGCTGAGGTGAGTCATCAACGCCGAGACGCCGCGCCGCGCGCGCGACGAGCTTAGGACACTCACGGATAAGAGGGAGGGGGTGGGGGGGGGGGGGTNTCGACTTTGAGCGGCCGCTGGAGCGCCGGCCGGGCCGCTCGGAAACTCCACGCCCCGAGGGCTCAGGATTTCCAGACCCGTTTCCGAATCGGGCTTCAAACGATTAGATGCTGCAATGGAGAATTTACAGG